CCAGGCTCGTGAGCCTGATTCCTCGACAGCAGTGTGCCAAGTAGCCCCGAGCTGGGGAGGGCTGGTAGTGAGAGCACAGCTGGTGTCCAGCCTCTGGATTCCTCTAGAGGTTTGGACACCACTGGAATCTGAACAAATGTCCTCCCTCAAAGCAGCCACTGCTAGCCGCCCTCAGCCCCTCTGGTTTCAGTACAGCCGAGGCCGGAGAATGGAAGAGCCTGGAAGGAAGCTCAGTATCAGGGAGGCTGCTGGACATGAGGCACTAGCTGCGGCCCCAGAGCCTCCCTTCGCCCTTGAAGGTCCTTGACTTTGCTGTCAGCACTAAGCTAGATCCCTCCATTAAAGCAAAGGGACAAGAATGCACAGAGCACCCCTTTGTCATTCCTCTTAGCACAGCTGAGACCAGCTGGCATTTTCACAAAGGGATTTACTAAATACTAAGGGAGAACAAAAGGGAAATAAGGACAGAAAATACAAAAAAACGCAGCCCAGGCTGCCAAGTTCCCAAAGGCCTGAGACAAGGCTGCAGCGCCTTGCCTGGCTTCCCTTGTTCGTAGCCCTCATGGTGGGCACCATCTTGTTTCCTGCCCCTGGGAACAGCTTCGTCACCCATGGCCTCAGCTCTTATCTCCCTTCCAACTCGACCACACCCCAGGCCTCCCGTCGGGTTCCGGTCTCCAGCCCAAGGCAGGAGCCTTGTCCCCTGGGGACTGGCAGGGCTGTGGTGACCAGCCCAGGGCATGATTACACAGTAACAGGAGGCTGTCTTCCCACACTCCTGCTCCACCAGAGAGGCCCACCCAAGCTGTCCTGAGCATGGGGCCTGGAAGGCCTGCTTCTGAAGGTAGAAGGACATTCGGGTGAGGACCAGGAAGACTTGGGACAGTTTTCCTGTGGGGAGAGGAGCAAGGGCTCTGAGGATTAGCCCAACTCAACAAACACTAATGAAACCCCTACTGTGTGCCAGGCACACTGCACAAGGTGCTGGGGGTCCCAGGCTGAACCAGTGTCTGTCCTCTCAGAGCTTACAGTCCATGGGAAGATACACAAGCAGCTGGTAGTGGGCCTGGTGCCATGATGAAGAGGTAGTTCGAGGTGCTGTGGGAACCTGCACGAGGAGCGCCTCACCCAGGGTGGCGGGCAGGTGGTCCCTGGGGCGTGCCTGGAGGGAGGGCATGGAGACAGGAGAGGAGCTCAGGGTGCAGCTCTGTGGGGCCCAGGAAGCAGAAGGCAGAGGAGACCCACCAAGCACCGTCTCACCGGTGACCGTGGGTGTAGCAGGTGGCATGTCCATGTAGCAGCATGTCCAGCCTGTAGAGTAGGGAGGCCCTCCACCCTCTCTGTCCACTGCTGCTCTCCCCGCCAGCCTGGTCCGGGGCTCAGGGACGGGGTCAAAGAGAATGGGCGAATGCAGGGCCACCTGAGACACAGCCCTAGCACCAGATGTCAAATTGTCATCAAGAGAGAAGGCAAAGTCATAGTTAGGAAATAGTTCAGAGGTTCCAGACATGAAGAGGCTAGGCCAAAATGGGAAAATGAGTCAAAATCAAAATGCAGGAAACAGGGATGGATTCAGGCACGTGCTTCAGGTTGAGACCATGACTAATGCAAGGTGTGGGGAGCCCTGTGTTCCAGGGCAGCCTCGGGAGGCTGGGACTGGCCTGGCGGCCTAGTGAGCGGGACCAGAACTCATGGCTGCTCAGGATGACAACAGTCATGGACCAGGTTTTTTCTACAGCCTAGACCCTCGTGTTTACCTGCATTTGCTCCTTGCGACATGGTCAGCTCCATGCTTGGGCTGAGGGCTTCTCCCTCCCTCCTGTCAACCTTTCGGAGTTTGTCAGACACCCAGTCTGTTCCAGCAAGGGGAGGACCCAGAACAGTTTTAAGTCATTGGCCCTTCTTTCACGGGATTTGCAATCTGGATGGTTGAGAGAGCTTACACTTACTGGAAGGGGCTTTGGAAAAAGACTAGGTTGATACCCACCTCTGTCTGTCCTTAGGAACTAAGTGACTATGGGCAAATTACTTATCCTCCCTGGGCCTCCATTTTTCCCATCTTCAAAATGGGAATAAGGAAAACCTACCTCATAGGTTTGCTGTGAGAATTCGAGGAGCTGAAGTGTGTAAAGCACCAGGCACACTGCTTCACACATAGTAAACATTCAATAAATATTAGTTCTCTCCCCAAAACAACAACAAATTGTGATGATAAACAGTTAAATGTTGAGTTGTGAACACTGACCTGGCAGTGGGTCTGCTTAGCACCTGAATCTACGCAGAAGCTTCCATGACCACTGAGGACTGATCGCCTGGATGGTTGTGGAGAGAATTTGTGTGTGGGAGGAGGTGTGTGTGTGCGCGCGCTCACATACACGTGCAAATCGCCCCATCGTCTTGCTTCTCTGCAGTTGGCAGAAGCAAGAGATTTTTTATTTTCTGTTTCATTCCATGATGACAAATACTCTTCTCTGTAACTACAGGGTTCTTATATCTCTAATATGAATCAACAGTTTATTAGAAATCATGCCTCACAACTACCATTTCCTGTGCCCCAGGCGCATTAACAGTCCTCCCCTATGAGGTAAATGCTTATTCTCCTCACTTCAGGTGGAGGCAGCGGGGGGGCCCTGAGACGTGGAGGAAGCCTTTTGAAGTTCCAGGCCTGGTAAGGACTGAAGGCCCACTTCAGGGGGCGGAGCCACCAGCACACTTACCCTCGACTGAAGGTGAGCAAGAGGAAGCGTCTATCGAACCAATTTACATTCGGGGGGTCTTATTGGTTTTTAAGATCTACCCTGCCTAATTCATTTCAAAACCCAGGAAGCCATGTTTAGAAGGGTATGGTTTCCAGTTTAGTGACAAAAACAGTGAAGCGTACGTGCAGGGATGGCAGACACCGCCCAGACACTGAGCCTACTCCAGAATGTAGAAGAAAGAGCTGCAGCACCCCTAGCCACCTGTACCCCGACCTCCCACGAACATAAACTTCGAGGGAACTCCATACTACATGCCCAGCAACTTGGGCAGTGCCTGGAGCACAGTAGGGCTGAGGCAATACATACATGTTGATTGAAAACATGAATGCATCAATATAAGCACACAATATATACAGCCTTATACACACACAGTTATAGGCAAATATGCCCTATAAGTAAGTGTTCCAAACACTCAGTTATAGACAAGCATATACAACAAATACCTCAATATATACATTCATGCATACATGATACATGCCATGCCCCCGTTCACAAACCCAAATCCAGAATGAAGACATGCATGAACACACGTATGTATGCAGATGGTATGGGCCAACACATATGATCCAGATATGCATAGACATGCATTTACTCACCTCCATACATACTCATAGTGATTCCCAGACACCTCCCACCATGACCCTAAGCCCAGGAAGGAGTCTGTCTACCCCACGAGCCCTGGAGTGTGGGAGCTTGACAGTAAGTTCCTTATAGCCCCCCGCTTCGCTGACTGGTAACTGGCCCCTGGCTCCCGGACCTCTGGCCTTGGGGTTGGCCAGGCAGGGAGGCAGCATCGCCAGCAGCCCCTCGTGGGTGGGCAGGCAGGCAGCGACACAGAGGTCACTGGGGTGAGAGCTGGGGCTGCCCTGGCTTCCCTGCTTCTGGCTGGAATGTGCACTGCAGGGGCTGCCTCCCAGGTCTCCCTCCTCTCCCACAGCCTCCCACCAGCCCCAGGCCTAGGCCAACCCATGACCCCAAATCCTGCCAGGCTCTTGCGGTCAGGGAGCCGTGCACCGCGGGCGGCAGCGGCGGGGAATGCTTGAGGGCCATGGGAGGGCACACACAAATGCAGACAGAGATGTGCAATCTCACACAGAAGTTGATGCAAACATTCACACACAGAGCAAGACACAGGATGACATGCAAGTTCACAATCCTAGTGAAATGCACGTTCAGACACACTTCCAAACACACCTAGACACAGCGGACACATATACACACATACTCACACAAACAGCCAGAGATACTGAGAGATCAGAGCCACACGTGAGTGACATTTGCACATGCAGTAGACACAGGCAGACACCGAGACGACACAGAAACTCACAGCACAGGTGTGTCTTGACAGTCACACTCAAATGCCCACACAAACACACAAAAACGCTGTCGGCAGATCTGTGCTGAGTTGGAGCATTTCTTCCTCACCCTGGGACCGGGAGGAAATGTTGCACTAGGCCGCTCTCCAATTTGCATGTGGTGGGCTCACAGGCAGGGCCTGAGAAAACTGCTTCCCACAAGAGGAATGGGCTGACCTGCTGTCTGAGCGCTTGGCTAGGAGGAGGGTGGAGGGGCAGAGGGCCAGTTCTGGAGTCAGGTGGCTGGGGTTTTGTCTCTATCAGTTACACACACACACACTTTTTCGAGTGTGTAGGTGCATACAACATATCCTGCAGGGGCACTCTTGGAACCTCAGTTTCTTCATCCTTAAAATAGGGTTAATAATCCTTTCACCTCTGAGGATTGCGGGGATGGCAATAAGGTGGCTCTGTGAAGGGCCAGACCAAATTGCCGCCCTCCTAGTGGTCTGGGGCCGCAGTTTCTGCAGAGGCCGCTGAAGTCTGGAGCCTTGTTGGCACACGTCGGGCAGCTGGATTCCCTCCCACCCCAGGTAGCCAGCCTAGAAGCGTGGAAGCGGAGCTGTGAGCCCCATTCCCCTGGTGGCACTGGGTCCTAGAGCCCCAGACACCAGGCTGCGGGATGGTCTCCGGCGGAGCGCGAGGGTTACGCGGCCTGAACGCCCCGTCCACGCACCGCGGGACGAGCGCACTCGGATTCGCGCTCAGCCCCTCGGCGCCCGCGCCTCCTTCGCCGCCAGCCAGACCCGGCTCAGCTCGGCAGCTCCCTGGACGCCTCGTCGCGGTGGGCGGGACGGGCCTGGAGCCCCGCCCCATTCGCGGCCCTTGAAACCCAGTCGCCGACTAGCTCCAGTCCCAGAAGGGAGCTCCTGTCTGAGCAGGAAGCTGCATCTTCAGTGGCCAGCCGGGAGGAGACCTGCGGTCGCGCCGAGAGCCCGACGGACCTTCCCCGGGGGCGCGCCTGCCGCGCACTGCCTCGCCCCGCCGGGCGCTTCGCATCAGGTTTCCCAGCCACAGACTTACCTAAGGGCTCCTGAATTTCCAGGGCTTCCAGAGGATGCTCGAGCCACCAGAGGGGACCTCGGGGCAGTAGTAGGGGGACATCCAGCTCCCCGCTCAGCGCCTCTCCTCCTGTGCCAGGGGCTCCCCCAGGGGGATGAGCAGGGTGATTTTCCTAGCTTGGGACATTTGAGAAGATGCTTGCCATGAGGCTGCTGACTTGCTTCCTGCAGCTCCTGGCTGGGCTGGCGCTGCCTGCTGTGCCCTCCCAGGTAAGACCCCCCACATCCCCGCCTGGCTCCCCTGGTATTCCCATCCCCCACACTCAAAGCAGAGGGCCCTGATATCACAGGCCCACTTCCGGAAGCGGCACCTCCAAGGATGTCCATACATTTCCCAGGAGTCAGGCTGGACGACACTGTCTGGGAAGAGACCTCAGGCTGGGCTGTCCCAGACTTTAGCTCTGGGGTCTGTCTTGGTGGGGGCAGGGAAGCCACAGAAAAGGGAGGGAGGTTTCCTGTCTGGCCCCTGGAGCCACAGTGGCTTTGCTAAAAGCATCTCTCCACTAATCCCAGGCCAGTCCCTGGCCTTGTGCTCAGGGTCGAGGCCTGTGACTAGGCAGGCGCCCCCAGGACCTCTGACCTGGTCTGGCGGAGGGGCAGCTGGCAGAAGAGGCCGTTGGTGGGGAGGCTGGGTCCTGCCCCTGTCAGGGCCCCCGGCTGAACCCAGTGCTCCCAGCGGGCTGGGGACAAGACGAGACGTGCTGCTGTTGCCGCCCTTCCGTGGTGGGCAGCCGGAGGCCTCCAGTGCGGGGCCTGGGGAAGTGATCAGGGCCCTTTTCCCAGGAGCGGGGGGAGTCTGGCCAGGGGCCAGCCTGGGCAGTGCAATCCTGACAAAGCCAAGGAGCTGCCTTTCCACTATGCGGTCCCACTGCCCTGGGAGTCCCCGCCCCAGCTCAGGAGTGGGTGGGCTAGACAGACCCTTGAGGCAGAAGATCCCCACCAGCAGCCACCTGCTTGCCTGCTGCAGGGCTGGCCAGAGGTGTAATGTTACCCCCAGCACCAGCTCATGGCGCCACCCGCTCCAGCCCCTCCGCTCCCACCAGCTGATCACTGCTCCCAGGCTCTGGCACCCAGCCAAAGGAGGCTGCACAGGACCCAGCAGGGCTGGCCTGGAGGCTGGGTAGGCGGAAGACCCCAAAGGATTGCAAGATCTTTGGGACCCAGAAAGCAAAATGTCTCCAAAAACCTCCAGACTCCCACCCTTTCCAAATGAGGAAACTGAGGCCAGAGGGAGGGCTGAGACTCACTCAGGGTCCAGTTAGGTTTTAGTTGGACCTGGAAAGAGTGCTGAGACAGGGAAGAGAGTGGGTGCGGTGGGTGCGGAGAGGTATAGAGGGGCCTCTATGTTCTTGCCAATAAGCTCAGCCCCAGAGCAGAGAGGCCCGCGGTGGTCCCCCTCACCTCTGCGCTCTTCTGTCCACAGCAGTCGGCCTTGCCTGCTAGAGACAACTCATCAGAGACGGAAGGTAAGCAAGCCGGGTTGGTGTGTCTGCTCACCGAGTCCCCTCCTGCCACACCTCTTCCGAGAATGGGAAGGGACTGGCATGAAGGGCGGGTGCAGGATGGTGTTAAGTTGGGGAGAGTCCGCAAGCTGGCTGATGCCCTGGCTGGCAAAGTTGTCAGGGCTTGAGAAATCCCCCCCGCTCTGGTGACCCAGAGGCCTAGAGAGGTGTATTTCCAGGTGCCCTGGTCACCCAGAGAGCAGGGCTGGGCCAGTGTATCCAGGGTTGGTCTAGCTGGTTCAGAGCCCCTTCCCAGCATGACGTCAGGGGGCAGATGAGGTCTTGGAGGGCAGTGTGGGCAGTGAGTGCCAGGGGCTTGATTGGTGGTCTGGGAGCTTGGTGCAGTGGGCACGCAATCAAGAGAATCAGGAGGGAAGAAAGGACCTTCCCAGCAGCCAGCGCTTCCTAGCAGCCAGGCCTTTCCATTGATTACAAACAGACAGAACATGAGTCGTGCCCTCCCTGGCCTCTCCTCTCCCCACCCTGGGTTGCATCAAGAGGGAATCTTCAAAGGGCTAGATGGCTGCCAAAGAGACATACATGTGGAAAGGAGGATGCTCATGCCAGGCCCCCTGCCTCGCTCCTCCCTTTCGGCTTCTCCGAGACGTGCAGTGGGGCCACACACCATTTCTGAGGCCTCCCACGGCGCTGCGGAAGAGGGAGCATGTAGAGACATGCACACGCACATACGTGATAGCCAGTGCGAGCTGGGAACACCCTCTCTCCTGGGTCTGGCCAGGCTGTCATGCCTGAATCCCAGGCTCTTTAAGTGCTGACAAGATGTGGGAGGTGGCAGCCCTTGACTTGGTTGATAACTCTCCCCGTCCCCTTGCTGTGCCCCCTGGGACTGGCACAATATTATGCTCTCTGAGATCTGGGGAGGGACCCATCACCATCTCCACCCCCTGTCCTTTTTGGTGCTTTTAGTATATTTCAGGAAACAGCTACCGAAAAAGTGTGAGCCTCAGTTTCTTCATCTGTAAATGAGAACAGTAGACTACATGATATCTAAGGGTTTGTTTTTTTTTTTTTTCTAAGAGTGTAGGATTATCTGACCCCGTGGAGGGGACACAGGAGTTTATATCTTCCAAGAACCAGGGTGAGGAGGCTGGGAAGTGTCAGTTCATCAGGGCAGCCAACCTGTCATCCGATCATTAGGGGAGCCTGTATCGTGGTCAGGGGAAGTCCCATGAGTTTTGGACCCCAGTTACCAGCACCTGAAAATACCATCCCCTCCTGCTAACACTGGCCAAGAGACAGTGCGGTCCGTGCGTTGCAGCCGTGGGTTACTCTCATGCTAGCAGTGCTGGGCATTTACTATAATTCTGCATTGATCACAGGCCGTGAACAAGGAAGGCATTTGTATTCTCTAGATTTTCTAGGTGAAGAACCCAAGGCTCACAGAGGCCCTCGGAGTTGCGTAAAGCCTTGGACACTCCTCAGTATCCACGGCTCACAGCTGAGCAGGCATGAGCAGAGTGTCCCTTGCGGCAGGCTGGCTGCATGCCCCACCAGTGACTATGGAGAGGACACCTGCTGGGCTTGGGCTGGTGGCCAGCCGTTCTGCCCAGCCCCGCGGCCTCCCGGCAACCTCCCCAGGAGCTCGCTCTCGGGATTAAACATTTCCCTTCTTGGGTCTCCTTCGTCCTGGGTGGTAGGCAGCGGGAGCCAGATAGGAGGCTTGCCCACAGGGCCATCGAGAGCTGAGACCCCGCTCATGCCCTGGGAGCCGCCTTCGCGCACGGCCTGACCCTGGCCTGGCACTTGACTGGGCCGCAGCCTCCATTCCTCTCACCCCCGCTGCAGCCTCAGGAGCAGGTCTGGGGCCAGAGGAAGTACTTTCAGAAGGAGCTGAGCAGAGCTCTTTCCTGAGGGCCTCAGCCCACATCTGGGAGTGGTCACCGCTTGCTCAACTGACCCCTTACCCACCCAGCCGGCGCCTTTTGTTCCTCCCACACACCCAGGCAGCTGCCTCCAGGGATGAATCGCCCTTTTTCCCCGGTGGCTGCCAGGTAAACCAGGCCCAGCTCATCTTCTTCTCAGCCTTTCCCCAGCACGGCTTGGCCATGTGGCGGACTTCGGGGCCCTGCAGGCGGGGCCCTGTTGTTGCAGTCTGTGTGGTGGGGAGTGGGGGTGAGGAAAGGAAATCCCTTCTTTTGCCGCCAAGGCTCAGCTGGCTCTGCTTAACCTGGCTGTGGCCCCAACAGCCCAGCTGGATGGGAGTCTGTTTGCAGACTGGTAGGGGGCTGGGGTACCCCCTTCTCAGCTGCTGTCCCCCTCCCTAATGGCTGGTCCCAGGAGAGGATTCTGAGCCTTCTATAGCACTTTGTCAGCTGGCTATCCTCTGCTTTTATTTATGTTTTCCAAGGTGGAGATTAAATGTTCAGAGTTACATAGTGCTCGTGAAGATTTTAGACTAAACACACATTCACAGAGTTACGATAGGGAGGTGCCCCACTGACCCTCTACAGGCTGTTTGCCTGCGGCTTCCAGGCTGCTTACAGGGAGAGGGACTTACTTCCCACTTAAGGGTTCAAGGAAAGTGTCCCAGTAGCCTGGAGAGGTAAGATCGGAGGAGGCGTCATCCCTGGGCCCAGCCCTAGGGTCCCCTCAGCAGACAAAGCAGAATGGAGCAGCAGACACCCAGATAAGCGTGGTTTATTGCCGCTCTGGCCTCCTCGGCCAGCTCTACATGGACACGCTGCCTCTTGGGTATTTTCCGCCAGCTTGCAGCCTTTCCTTGGGGCCTCTGCTAGGGCTGAAGTTTATTTTTCCTCCGCGATTACCCTGAGACTCATGTCCTCATAGGCCCAGTGGAATGGACTTCGGCCCCTTCTGCCTCCTAGAAAGGGCTGTGGAAGGAGGTGAGGGGCTGCCGGGTGAACTGCTGCGCTAGGGCAGAGACCTCAGGGCCCCCAGGTGACCCAGCTACTACGTCCTCTCTCACCAGCTGAGGACAACCACCGTGTGTAAAGCAGGACGACCCAGGGACAGAGATGTTGCTCTGCCCGCAGTCTCAAGGCTGGGCTGGGCTGTGAAGGCTGGAATCACAGACCGCCTGTCAGAGCTGGGAGAGACCTTAGCAACCGTCCATTCCCAATCTGCTTCTTTTCCCCAGCCAAGGAAGCTGATAGGCCCAGAAAGGTTGAGTGACCTCCCCAAGGTCACACAGCTGGTATGGGGCCAGGAATAGAAGCCAGGTCTCCTAGTTCTGGCTACTCACTCCCTGTGACCCTCTTGGGACCAGGCCCCAGGTCTTCCCCTGAAGGAGCAGCATCTTTAAGGGATTCCAGATAGGCCCCCAAAAGCCCTTGCACATGCCCAACAGGACATCATGGGGGTCGGGGATGTCCCTGATAATCTTCAGTGAACTGTCATCCAATCAATCAGTAATTATTTAGCCTGCGTTTACTGGGTGCTTGGGTCCCTGTCCTCAGTTGTAAAGGAGACAAGGACCTCCAGTGACTGAGATAAGGCAAGTGGGTGGGGCCTAATTATGCTCAAAGGAGGAACATCTGTTCACCCTAGAAAAGTTGGGGAAGGCTTTGAAAAGAGGAGGCAGGGAGGTGGGCTTGGAGGAACGGCGGCAGGCTTTACTGGCTTAGAAATGAGCACAGCGCAATGGTGGGAATCACGGTGCCGCGGCCCAGTTTGGTCCGGGGGCCGGTCCCGGTACAGTGAGGAGTGGGGCCAGGCCGTTGCTGGCTGCAGTCTTGGCTGCCCGCAGAGGAGGCGATCCGGAGTGGGGCAGGAAATAAGGACTGGGGCGGAGGCTAACCCCCACTGTGGGGCTCTGCAAGGCAATCTCGCAGAACTCAACTGTTTTCTACAAATTCCCCAAGATGGAGGAAGCCCCAGGTCAGGCCTGAGAAAGACCCAGCAGGCCTGGGGAGTGGCCGGGGCACGCTCCTCGGAGCCTCGAGGGCGCCAAGGCAGGCGTGGCAGCCGGAGCCGAGAGCATTGAGAGCACTGCGGAGAGCTCAGGCCACGGGAACCCCGTTCCACCGGGATTTCTGTCCAGCAGATGAGCTAAGGGCCCAGCGGCCTTCCCAGATGGATCACATCACTTCAGAGCAGAGGGAGCGGACATAGGCTGAGGGCTTCCTGGAGGAGGTGCGGGTTAACCCCAAAGGCTCCGCAAAGCCGAAGGAGCAGGGACTGGGGCTTCCTGGAGTGGCCCTATCCTGATCTGACCCAGCCAACTGCGCCCTCTTGCAGTGGTGCCCTTCCAGGAAGTGTGGGGCCGCAGCTACTGCCGGTCGATGGAGAAGCTGGTGAACATCATGTCGCTGTACCCCAATGAAGTGCAGTACATGTTCAACCCATCCTGTGTCGCCCTGCTGCGCTGCACCGGCTGCTGTGGTGACGAGTCCCTGCACTGTGTGCCGGTGGAGACGGCCAATGTCACCATGCAGGTAGGGAGGGTCTCCTCATGTCCCGCCTCCCCCATTGTCCACACCCTACTCAGGGGGTCACAGAACCTAGCCACAGGAGGACCTGGAGAGGGCAGGAGGGCAGGCCAAGGTCACAGACTGCAGCTGCCCCCCAGGCCTGTGCTCTCACCACCCGGCACAGTGACCCTCCTCTCTGAGCCCACGTCCCAACCTTGAGCCCATGCAACTCCTCCCTTATCCTCTGTCCCAGGCTCTAGCTTAGCCCTAGTCCAGGACCCAGATACCTGGTTGAGGATGGAAAAGATGTGAATCTACTTGGACTCAAGAAGTCCCTGTCTATACCGGCAGCCTTTGGTGCCCTGAGCCTTGCTCACAAGCCCAGTGCTCTGCGGAGCCCTCACTGCGTGGTGCCGAGTGCTGTGCTAGGCTGTGCTGGCACTTCAAAAATGCTACCTCAACGTTCAGCCCTTCAAGGCAAGTGCTATTCCCAAAGTACAGATGGGGAAGTTGAGGTTCAGACGTGGTATTTCCCTTGCTCAGCAGGTGGAAGATCCAAAATCTCAACATATGTCTTTCTGACTCCAGAGTACAGCCCCCTCCCTGTACTGTTATGCTGGTGACCATGCATATGGAGGGTCAGGGGCCTCAGATTCACAGGCAGGTGGGAGGGCCGTTTGCCCCACAGTGAAAACAGAATAAGGGCGTGCAGTACAAAGGGTGGGGGAAAACATGGAGTCTGGTCCCCCCTCCAAGGAGGGGGTAGAAAGAATGTTGGAGACCCATGGCCACCCCCACCCCCTATCCAGGCAGCCGACCTTTCTCTCCCCGCAGATCCTGAAGATCGGCTCTAAGAAGCAACCCTCCTACGTGGAGATGACGTTCTCTCAGCACAAGCGCTGCGAGTGCAGGTAGGTCCTCAGGGAGTGGCGGGGACAGGCCCATGCCCTTGGCAGCCTTGGCCACGGGCCACCCATCCCTGCTGCAGGCTTCACTTCCTTCTGGGCTGAGGGAGGGCCGGGAAGTCAGGGACCAGAGGCAGCTGTGTTGTGCTGTCCCCACCGACCGCCCCCCCCACAGTTGTTGCCTGAGGAGGTGGTCCCAGTAGCTGGAGTGACAGCTGCTGAGAAGCCCCAGGGGCAAAGGAAGCCAGGTCCCTCTCAGACTTGCAGGGGCTCAGAGCAGACCATCCCCCTCCCTGAGATGGGAGGCAGCTGCCACGGTGGAAGGGGACAACGGCGCACAGGAGCACAGGGTAGGAGAAGCCGTGGCAGGAGGAAAGGGGCAGGAGGAAGGAGGCGCTGGGGTTTCTGTAAAACCGCACCCCTCCCCCACCAAGCAGAGCCTGTGACCACTCCGCTCCCAGGGCTCCCTGAACATTGGTTACCAGGCGAGGCAGGCCTGGCGCTGCCAACCAGGCCTAGGGAAGAGGGAACAGAGCTGGGGAGCTGTCCTGGTGCCCCGGGGCCAGGGATGGAAGCACCAGACAAGAGCCCTATTCTGAGGCGAGAAGAAGGGGGACCACCTCCGTTTATTGTGTCCCTACTGTGGGCCTAGCCCCACACTGGACACTTAAATGTGTTTTCATATTCAATGGTCAAATGTTCTCCTTCTCATTCAAGTGAGAATTAATTGAGCACCTACTGTATGCCAGGCCCTGTCCTGGATTCTTAGAATAGAGTGGTGAGCAAAGCAGACAAGCTCTCATAACCACCCTGGAGGGGTAGGTGCTGTCATGAGCCCCATGTTGTAGATGAGGACACTGAGGCTTAGTGTGGTAACATGAGTTGCTGCAGCTTATGCGTGAACCCCAGTCTGTCCAACCCCCGAGCCTACCCTTTTCCACACTACCTCTCGTGGCCATTCTCCAAAAGACCCAGGACTGCCCTGGGCTTGGCCCTGCTTACTGTCCAGGGCTCTGGCCGCCTTCTTGGCCCCGAGCCCAGGCTCCAGGCCCTCTTTATCATATCGCTCCTGGGGCCCTGCCTCAATCACACTTCGCCCATTGCTCCAGGCAGGTTTAGCCACACAACAGTAGCTCCGTCATGAACCCTCCCAGGCACAGTGCTGCATGGTGACCTTTCGCATCCCACGTCACCTTTGCCCTCACAGCCACTGTTGGGGCAGGCAGATGAGGCGACTGAGGCTCCATGAATGTCTCGGACTTGCCCAAGATGGCAGAGACATGACCAGGCATTCCCAGAGGCCCTGGTACCCTGCCCTGGCTCCCAAGGGAGACACAGCCTAGGGCAACATTCCCTGGCCACGCTGCCCCATACCCCCACCCCTGTTCCCAGAGAAGACCCAGGCCCTGTCCCCTTCCAACAGGCTGACCAACAGGGACAACCTTTCTTCTCGCTGGGAGGCCAACAGCCACGGCTGTGGGGGCAGAGCCAGGACAGGCCTGCAACTCTGGGGCTGCGCTTACCTCCCCTCACTCTACCCCTCACCCATCCCTCCTGCTGTCGCCTGCAGCATCACTCGTCCCCGGGGGAAGGGGGGGTGGCAGTTGTGTCCTGACAGGCAGCCTGAGCTGGCCTCATTCACTGTCCTTGAGGAAACTCTGAGTGTGCCCTGGAACGGAGGGCAGGAACAAGAGAAGAAGTAAACAGAGAAGGCAGGAAAGAACAGGCTCACAAATCCCCAGATTTGATGCCAAGAGTGCATGAGAAGTGCAGAAGGTTATGGAAAGGGGCCCCAGGGGGAAATTCGTATCTCTCTTAGTGGAGTCACCAGAGCCTGGAGTTGGAAGCCGAAGCCGAGAGCCCGAAGCCATCTCTCCCTTACTAGCTCCATGCTACCCCCTAGTGGCTTCAGCACCAACTGCAGGACCAGGACTCCCAATGTCTGAGGGGAGGGGTAGGGATGGAGGGAGCCCCTGCTTACCACCCTCCTGATTCAGCCCTGCCCCTCTCTGTTTCCCCAGGCCTGTGTGGGACGTGATAAAGCCAGAAAGGTAAGTGGCTGGGGCTTCAGGCTGTTCTCGGGTCTGCCAGCCTCTATCCTAGCATGGGAAACGCCCAGCCACTCTGTCCTGATGCTTTTGGCTTATTGCAGGAGGAGACACAAGGGCAGTGGGAAGAGGAAGAAAGAGAAGCAGAGACCCACAGTCTGCCACCTGTGAGTGTGCCGGGGGGCCCAGGGATGACCAGGAGGCTGGGCCAGAGGGGCTCCCACCAGCAGGAGTTAGTGGTCAGGAAGGGGGAAAGCAAGGCCCCGAGCAGTGTGAGGGGCCAGAACAGGGAGCTGCGTTCCTAGAGATTCTAGGGCCCAGGAAGCCTCAGGGGCCTTGGTTCTTGTCCTGACTTAGCCTGAGTCTCCGTGCGGCCTTGAGCAAGCCAAGCTACCTCTCTAAGCTTAGTTTTTCTTTTCTGCGTAAAATGAAGGATCAGGGCCCACCAAGCATTTAGTCATTCTAGAAATATTTACCAAGCACTTACTGTCTGCCAGGTACAGCAGTGAACAAAGCAATAAAACTCTTGCTCTGAAGTGCTTCCCTTCTAGTGATGCAAAGTCCAGCAGCTGAAACTGTATCCTGGGCCATTCCCTAGAGCCCTTGGGGAAGGAGCAAACGCCCACTCGCTCTCAGTCCCCGGACTCTCGCGTCTCTGTCCTTCCCGGGGGGTCTTGGGGCCCACTTGCTTCCTATTTCCCTCTCAATGTTATCTGTCTTTCTTGGCTTCACACCTGGAAGCCCACAGTTGGAGTCTGGGCCAGAGTGTGGCTGGGAGAGAAGGATCAGAGCAGGGAAAATGCAAATCTGTGAGAGTAAAGAGTAAAAATGAAATATTTCATATCTACAGTAATCAGTCACAGACACCAGCAAATCATTTCATGCTGTGGGACTGGAGCTGACCCATGTCTTACTCCACGGGTCCGCCCCTCCATGAGCAGAGACATCCACCCCACCCGGTGAAGATAGGGATTCTGGAGAAGTTGGTCTCCTAAAGGCATGTGGCCTTCATTCCTCCCCTGGGCCCAAGCAGCAACGTGGGGTGGGAGCTGGCAGTGTAGTCAGCGCACGGTCCCCCGCCAGGCAGGTCCAGATGGAGTGTGTTCTGTTGCTCCTTCATCCAGGGCAGCAGTCTTCAAACATCTCGCTCAGGGGCCTTCTGAAACAATTTAAAAAAATCCATGTGCTCCCTTGCTCATTTTTTTAAAAATTTTTAATCCTCACCCGAAGATATGTTTATTGATTTTAGAGAGAGAGAGAGCACAACATTGATGTGAAAGAGAAACATTGGTCGGTTACTTCCTGTATGTGTCCCTACTGGGGACCAAACCCAGAATCTAGGTATGTGCCCTGACTGGGAATCGAACCTGTGACCCTTTTGTGTACGGGCAACGCTCCAAACAACTGAGCCACCCGGCCAGGTCGTTGCTCATTTTTAAGTTAGCATTGAACTTTGCCAACAGAATTATAAATAGTTGCAAAGATATAATTTCTAGCATGTTATAAATATTAATGTTTTAATATAAAGCCACTAAATTCTTCAGATATATCCTATAGAATAAGACATGTTAATTTAATACCATTATCCACTTTTAAAAGAAATGGGAATAACAGAAACAAAAAATATAAATGTTTGCATTGCTTCTTTTTTCCTTGAACTTATACTTCCATTTGACTTCCCCCACAGAATTGCAGTCTAATGTAGTTATTTTTAATGTTCAGGTCTTTTATATATCACCTTGTCATATGTATCTGCTATGATAATGTACAGAAGTTTGAATTATTGTAAATTTCCTATAAACATAAACTAAATTTCCTGCTGGAATGGGCTATCACCATAATTATTAGCAGTACCAATTGATCAAAACAGCACAAATGCATCATATTTTAATCAATGTTAAACATAAAAATGCAATCAATCTCATTAGGGATGCGTCTCAATGAGATGGATGTGGCTGCCTCTTTCAGTTGATGAACCTGTTAATGAGTGTTACCTCGGCCAGACTGAGACAGGATTTAGCGTTAATCCCATTCCTGTTCACCATTTCACACAGATGAAAAGGTTGAGAAGGCATGCCCACACCAAGAAGTGAACCCCCTTGCTAGATGTCAGACACTTGAACTCGTCGATCGAAGAGCCATCCAAACCTGCAGAGAATTTTTAAAAGTTTATTTGAGCCAAACTGACAATTGCCAGGAAGCAACATCTCAATGGATGGAGAAAATGCTCCCGAGAGTGGGAGCTTTGCAACTTATTTTATACACTAGAATCAAAGCAGGAGATGTAAGGGCATCTAAGGAAGGTGAAATCCCTTGGTGGTAGATTAGGGAGGCAAGAGGAAGCAAAGGAGGGAAATCTCTGAGGCTGAGTAATAAGCCAAACAGAGACACATGCCCGTTTTGCAGCGGTGGACACAGGACCGCTGACATTCCCAGCTCACTGAAGTGGGAGGCGGGGAGCAAGACAGCAGGGAGGGGCTGTGGTCTCTGATTTGAGGCTGTGCTCCGAGAGGTCTGGAAAAGGTGATGAGGCTGACATTTCAAAGGTATGTTATCTTAGATGCAAGAAGTCAGTTAAATAGGCTCACTTACAGCGAAGGCTGACCTTTGTCAAAGAATTTACTGCCCTAGGATATGACTACCTGCCGTGACCCGTTTTTAGGTAGGAATTTTTATGTTCAGACCATCACATGTGGTTACTTTTGGTCTCTGAGTTTGGAGGGTGAGCCTGCAAGGCTGGCCTCCCCTGTGCTTTTCAGGTTTAGTGTGTGGCCCCTTTTTCATCCACAAATTCCTTCCACATTATTTGCCAAAACCTCAAGGTGCCCTGCTAACAAAAGTTACTTCTCATCACACGTTAGCTAACAGTTCAGTTGAGTTGTTCTTTAATTGTGTTGAAAGCAATGACTTGGAACCCACCTGATTTGCAAAAGTCTTGGGTACCCAGTCATTTACCATATTTCCTTTCTCAACGCCTGCACCCATCTCTCAAGTTCTTCATTGTTTGGTGTCCCCTGGATACTTTTGCCTTGGGGCAAAGTATTGTCACAGCATCCAAAATGGGTAGGATGCTCCCAGGTAGCAAGGCAATCGTGAGCTCTCAAGATGGTTGGGAAGCAGACCTCTCAGGCAGGCAGTTTTCAGGTGGAAAACTGAAAACAGATTCCTTTAAGGCCATCAGGACTCACCTATGCCTTGGACAATTTTGAGGTGCCCTTGTTTGAAGACTGCTGTCCCAGAGTGGTCAGAAGTATTAGAGTATGGAGCCAGACTGAGTGCATGTCACCCACTAGCTGTGTGACCTTGAGCAGGTTTCTTAGCCTCTGAGTCTCAGTTTCCTCATTTGCAAAAGGATAATAACCAAGCCTTCCTCATGAGATGTGAAGGGTAAATGAGAGAGTGCTTAGCGCAAGGCTGGGGGCCTGGGTACCTGCTTGGTGACGGGCAGCTAACGGCTTCTTTTTGGCCTTGGTGCAAGCAGAGATCCCGGCATGCTGCAGTCTCCCCGTGCTCCCTGTCCAAACTTCCCTCTGGGTTTGTCCCCCTTCCCATAGGAGGGACCCCCCACCCCACGGTGTGCTGATGCTGCTTTCTGTGTTTGGTCTCTGGCAGGTGCGGTAATACCACTCCCCTGAGGTAACCGGCCCTCGGAGGAGAGAGACCCCACGCCCGGCTCCTGTATTTATTATCATCACATTCTCAGTTACCTCCCTGCAGGCACCTGCCCTCTATTTATTAGCCAATTGTATCCCTGCTGAATGACTCGATCCCTCCAAGACGAGGGACAGGACCCTCAGGAATTCATTGCCTTAAACAGAACGTGAGAGAAAGAAGGCAGCCATGGATCACGTGTGCGCCAGCCTGGGAAGAAGCGGGACATGCAGCATGTCAGGGGCAAGTCAGGCCCCAGAGGCCCTGGGGGGTCTCCAAGGGGCCGGAGAGGGAAGGAGAGAGAGGGGACCCACCGCCTGTCCCTCGCCCTTGTGCTCTGCACCGACGGAGGAGCAGCCCTTGCTTTGGAAGTTCCCGGCGAGGGCAGGGTGGAGGGGCTTGCTCCGGCGGCCGTGGCTGAGTGGGAGGCACACAGGGGTGGAGGCGCCTGGTGGCTTCCTCCGCTTCCTGGCTGGGGCTCTACTCCCTGGAGAGCGGACCTTTCAGCTCTGGAGAACAGTGCTCTCCTGGGGCCTTTGTCACTCCCAGTCCCCTGCAGTTTCTCCTCACGTCCGGCCATTGCCTGTGCTGGGACATTGTTCTTTATGGCCAAGGAAGGCTTCCCATTCTGCCCCGTGTCGGGGACACAGGCAAAGAGTGGGCCCCAGGCTGGACACGGAGAGAGCTGCCCTGCATGGTTGTCTGACTGCCAAGCCAGATTCTCTTGAATAAAGTTATTCTAGTCTGGAAACAGCTTCTCTAGGGGAGTGTGTCTGCTGGAGCAGTGGGCGACAGCCGAAAATGGAAGCAGGACAGAAAAAGGGACCGTGGGCCCCAAGGCTGCCCCCTGGGTGGCTCCGGCCTCTCCTGCAGCTTCTAGGGGTGTCTCCCTCCCAGCTGCTTTAGGCAAAAAACCTGAGGTCTGCTCTCCCCATAAGAGGGATTCCCAAGATGTAGTCTTGGCCCCAAAGTTGGGGACCCTGGCCCCAGTCTCCTCTGAACACCCTCAAACTCAAGAGCAGAGTCCCCTTCCCCTCCCCCAGGGCCACCCCACACCCAGTGCAGTGCCTGGTCTGCTGGACTCCAAGTGAATGGGGGCTCCTGGGCTCATCAGGCCCCGGCCCCCCAGGGACTGAACTGCCCACCCCCAGGCTGTGCAGGCTGCCGAGGGCAGGGGGTCTGCCGATGCTGCCCGATTTCCCCTTTCCCTTACTTCCCGCCTTCCTCTGCCTTCCTCCTGAAGGCCTCAACATGAAACAAGAGAAAATGCTTTAAAATGTTTTTCCAGCGCGCACCATATGCTACCAGACTCCCCCATCTACCTCTGACCTGAAAGGCATGTCGTTTCAGTGTTGCATGCGTCGTGGGAAGGGAGCTCCCCCTTCCCTCTCGCTGCAGGCTGCTCAGGGCAGGCCCGCAGGGTCCCAGGGGCAGGCCCGCCTCGAGTTTTGGACGGAAGCCTTGAGTTTTGGACAGTCCAGCGGGGTGGGTGGGGCGGCCCAGCCCTTGGCGGTCTCTTCACTGAGGCCTGGGCGCCCCGGAGGACGCTCCCAGGAGCAGTGGGAGTGAGTAGGACAGGAACTGACCGGTCCATGGGACCAGGTTGGCCATCCTTTCACATCGGTTAGGTCCTAAGCGGCCTTGCCACTCACTCGCTCTGTATCTGTGGAGCACCACCTGCACGCCGGACATGTCCCAGGCCCCCAGGCCCCAGGGTGGAACGAGACACGCGAGGATCTGCTCCCACGGGTCCTGTGTTTGAGTGGAGAGGCCGACCATAATCACGTGTTACAGGACACTGGGTGGACTCTCTCTTGCTCAAACTGGTGACCAGAACTAAGGAGAAAAGGTTCTGAGTACACCACGTTCTAACACAAAGGAACAGTTTCAGGCTGGACACACATGCCTACAGGATGTATTAAGGGACAGAGGGCTGAGGTAATTCTGTGAGGCCCAAACATCGCCCAGCACCCCCTTAAGCGCCCTCCATAAGCCCAAGACCAGGAGGTTGAAGAGAAGGGGGAGGGAGCTGAGGCTGCGGAGACCTTGGTTGCTGGTCCTGCCCCCGCTCCTCCCTGGAGCTGAATTTGCCCACGTGCTGGCTGAATGAGGAGGGAAGGGAGTGGATACCTGAAGAGTGACAGGGGACAGAGAGAGGGGACACCTTGGAGCAATCAGTAGGCATTTCCCACAGCTCAGGGGATCATGGTGAGAAGTGGGTGGCCGTGAGTATCCTTGGCCACATTGTCCCCAAAGGGAAGCAGCAGGTGAGGAGACCCCACAGGCTACAGGCTGAGGGAGGAGGGTTGGGGCGATGGCTGAGTGGAGCATACCAGATACGGAGCTGGGAAGGAAACACATCAAGGAACAGTGCTGTGGGGTAGCCCTGCGGTTACCAGCAAGAAAGCTGGCGCCCAGATGCCTGTCATGCTAGGCACAGTCGTAGCCAGGGAAGGAGGGGCCCCAGATAAGGGACTTTCCCTCAGGTTGTCCCTCCCAGCCCCGTGTGAAAGGAAGAGAGGGAAGTGGGGAGGCGTATAGGGCCAGACCCAGTTCCTCTCCGCTCCCTCGAGCCAAGTCCGGACCTTGCCTTGGGAAGAAAGAGGCGTTAGACTTAAATTGGATGGACCAGTCTAGATGAGGCTGAACCTTTAATAAGTTAAAGTGACAGGAACCAGGAACATTAGAAGTTCTGCCCAAAATGCTATTAAGAGACAAGAAAAGGAGAATCAACACAGTTCATCTAGAAGCAATGATGAGAGGAAAAAAAACAAGGTTTGTTTGTACTTTCACTGTTTGCTCAATAAACAAGTTACACATGTAAACAAAGAAATTAATAAGGAAATGTCATTGCCAAAATGTGGCTCTGACACATTAGATATGGTCTTGAATTCTTTGACATTCCTCCCCTGTGAGGGAAGGTCTCTAATCCCTCCCTTAGAATCTGAGTTAACCGGTCTCTGCTTTGATCAATAGATTACAGCAGAAGGGACCCTAAAATAGTACCATGTGCTTTCAAGAGAACTGGAAGCTTCTGCCTTGTCCTTTTGGAACCCTGAGCTCCCTTGCAAGAGATTCAGTGATCATGAGGTCCCTCTGTCAGTGGAAAGCCCCAGCTAGCTTTCAAACTACGTAGAGGTGTGGGGGGGGAGAGAAATGCTCAGCCAGCCACCAGCTGTTCCAGACTCCCAGCCTTTACAGTCATCTCAGCAGAAGCCCCAGACCCCATGGAGCAGGAACATGCTGTGCCCTGTTTGATTTGCTAACCTGTGGAATCATGAGATACAATAATAACAAACTGGGGCGGCTGGGGGGACAGTGTGTTATGCAGGAATAGGGGCAGAATAGGAAATAAGATGATGAGACAGTGTTTGGAGAAAGGTACTGTAGATCAGGGAGGCCTCTCTGCGGAGGTGACATTTATGGTAAAGTTTGAAGGACAGGAAGGAGTTCACTCCAAAACAGAGGACAACAGTACAGAGCACTCCAAACAGAGGACAGACAGCACCTATGCACAAGCCCTCCAGATCCCAGCTTGGCTGGAGCCTGATGGGCAAGGGAGGAAGGGGCACAAGGTGTGATGTCCGAGGTAGGCGGGGGGTTAGGAGTTTGAATTTTGTTAGAATGCAGAGGGAAACCACTGGAGGGCGTCAAGCAGGAGAATGAGGTGACTATTACGTATATTTCTGAAAGATCACTCTGCCTTCTAGGTGGGGAACGGACCCGTGAAGCACAGAGCTAGAGGACCAGATACCACGTACAAGGCTGTAGCACATCCAAGCCACCAATCATAATGGCTTGTTTAGATGGAAAGAAGTAAAGAGTTCGGTCTTAATTCCCCATGTGGGCTGGTTACTTTGATCATTCATTCATTCATGAGCATTGTTGAGTCTACTAGGAGCTGGCATGTGCAAGGGAGCAAAGTACTTTAGTATGTGAAAGTCTTCTTAGTTTCCCACTTACTGAAGAAAATCGCATCCTACAAGAATAAGGAAACCAGGAGAAAGTCTTAGCTGAAAAGGCTGAGTTGATCTACCTAAGAACTAAGAGAGAGAAGGAAAGCTGAAAAGGGAAAGAAAAGACCCCAAGGCTATATCTAGAGAAAGAGTTTGGGTTTTGTTTCTTTCCAATTTTATTTTTAGAGCGGGGAAGGGAGGGAGAAAGAGACAGAAAGAAACATCAATGTGTGGTTGCCTCTCGAGTGCCCCCCACAGGGGGCCTGGCCCGCAACCCAGGTATGTGCCCTGACTGGGAATCGAACCACAACCCTTTGGTTTACCCTCTGGCACTCAATCCACTGAGCCACACCAGCCAGGGCAAGAGCTAGGGGTTTTGTTGATTTAAAAGCGTCTGATGATTTAAGACAATTTGGGGAGTAAAGGAAGGGTTTGAAAAGTGCTGCTACACTTCTGTCATGTTGAAGCTCCCAATGTTCTTTGAGAGAAGCTCATTCAGTGCGGCAGAGACCCAGCCCAGCGGAATGCCTGGATTAGTTAGGGTCACACAGAGAGGGAGGAGAAACCATTGTTTCCGATGTTGCAAAGTTAGTCAAAGGAATCAGATATGCACAGGTGATTATAAAAGAAGGGAAAAGGCCACATAGCTTAAACAAATGCAGATAAGGTGCTACTGAAGAAACGTGAGGTATTTGAGATGACTTACACCTGCGGAAAAGCAGGGCTGACTTGGCATTTCAGCTGTGACTCAAGGAATAGGCAACACTGAGTGTGGGGAGATGACTAGGGAAGGAGATCTAGGTCTGTGCAACCTATTAACAAAGACCCAGAGATGGAAAACCAATAGCTGTATAGGGGTTTTCAAAGGTTCAGTTTTGATGCTTCAGGTATGTGAAGCAGATGAGTGATAGATAAAGCTGGAAAGTAGGCTGGGCCCTGGATGCCGTCCTAGGTAGTTAGGGCTTTGCTAGGCTGTGGGAGACGCTGAATTTTTTAAGCAGGGAAATATTTTAATAGGAGAGTGACATGATCTTGGAATTCAAGGCTGAAAATAAATTTACAAAGAATCCATTTCTACTTCCTTATTTTACAAGTGAAGGTAAGGCCCAGGCTTGTCTAAAACCATGAAAGCTAAGTAAGCCAGAACTTTAAAATTTACCAGTATGTCCCTGGCCAGAGAGCTCAGTTGGTTAGAGCATCATCCTGATACATCAAGATTGTGGGTTCAATCCCTGGTCTGAGAAGATACAAGAATCAACCAATGAATGCATAAAACAAGAGGAACTGTTATCAGCGTTCTTGTGGAATCTTGAGGAAAAGAATTTCCTGAGACCTGCATGGGAGGATGGGGCTCCTTAGAGAACTTA